ATTGATAGGGCCTGGGGAAGAGGTACTATGGACATCATTTCATAGTCCTGTGATTTGTTTAACCAACACCAGGGTTCAAGTCCACTTCATAGGTCACTCTGTTACCTCTCCCCCCTCCCCCCTCCATACACCTCATTACCTTTCTTTTTTCTGTTATCTTTTTTTTGTTGTTGTTCTATATTTTTGTGGGTAGGGTATGGTTTACAAACATGACAGATAAAATTGAATGGCAAATGTGGAAAGAATGCACATGGAAGGAACTTGGATTTGGGCTGGCCATTGGTGGTTCACACACCTGTAATTTTAACTACTCAGGAGGCTGAGATCTGAGGATCATGGTTCCAACCCAGCCTGGGCAGGAAAGTGTGACTTTGAGTTCTAATTTAGTTCTAATTAACCAGCAAAAAGCTAGAAGTGGAGATGTGGCTCAAGCAGCAGTGAACCAGTCTAAAGTGAAAAGGCTAAACTATAGAGCCTAGGACCTGAGTTCAAGACTCAGTACATACACACACACACACACACACACACACACACACACACACACACACACACACACACACATACACACACACCACAAAAGGCTGAGATTTAGGGCTCAAATATGTACCTTAGTAACAGTGTCACATTGGGTAAGGCACTAAATATCATTGAGCAGGAATTTTCTTTTCTTTCCCTATCTTTCTTCCCTTTTTAAATTTTTATTTTATTTTATTTTTTGGTTGGTTGTGGGGCTTGAACTCTGGGCTTGAGCGCTGTCCCTGGGCTTTTCAGCTCAAGGCTAGTGCTCTACTGCTTGAGTCACAGCGCCACTTCCAGTTTTCTGGTGGTTTATTGGAGATAAGAGTCTCAAGGATTTCCTGTCTGGGCTGGCTTTGAACCCTGATCCTCAGATCTCAGCCTCCTATGTAGCTAGAACTTTCTTCCTTCCTTTCTTTCATTTCTTCCTCTTTCTCTTTCTTTCTTTTTTTTTTTTTGATGAAGATTGAACCTAACCAACCTCATTGCACCTCCAGCCCCAGTGAGCACTGATTTCCATGACTGTGAAAATGGAATAAAAGCCACAAAGCATTACTACTCTGGTCTTCCTTACCCTGAAAAACTATGTAGAAAACAAAATGGGTAAAATGTTTGCAAAGAATTAAGAACAGATAAAAAAATACATGGATTTATATGTATTGGGAGGCTAGTAACTTCATAAAATATACTAAACTGGGGCCTGGGAAGGTGGCTCAGTGGTAGAACGCTTACCTTGCATGCATGAGGCCCTGGGTTCGATTCCTCAGCACCACATAAGCAAAAAGAAAAAAGCCGGAAGTAGTGCTGTGGCTCAAGTGGTAGAGCACTAGCCTTGAGCTGAAGAGCTGAGGGACAGCGCCCAGGCCCAGAGTTCAGGCCCAACGACCGGACCCAAAAAAAAATAAAAAAAATAAAATATACTAAACGTCAGAAAGTTCTGGCAGCTCCGGATTCCAAACTCCACGTGCATATGATTATTAGGTTTTTATAATGAAAAGACTTCTTTAGTTCTTTTTCTATTTTTCTTTTTGGCTACTGGTCTACCACTTGATCCACAACTCTACTTTCAGATATTTGGTGGTTAATTGGAGATAAGAGTCTCAAGGAGGGCTGGGAAGGTGGCTCAGTGGTAGAGCGCTTGCCTTGCATGCTCAAGGCCCTGGGTTCGATTCCTCAGCACCACATAAGCAAAAAGAAAAAAGCCGGAAGTGGCGCTGTGGCTCAAGTGGTAGAGCGCTAGCCTTGAGCTGAAGAGCTGAGGGACAGCGCCCAGGCCCAGAGTTCAGGCCCCACGACCGGACTCCTCCCCCCCCCCCCAAAAAAAAAAAAAAAGAGTCTCAAGGACTCTCCTGCCCATGCTGGCTTTGAACCCATGATTCTCCTGATATCCAAGTAGTTAGGATTACAGGCATGAACCATTAGTACCAGATTTAATTGTTCACATTTGAAATCCCTGCATATGTCCTTTAATTATTAATCTAGACTCTCCTCCAAAGACAGATGACTACTAAGATCTTGGAAGAAGTGAGATTCTAGTAAAAACACACAGACCTGAAAGCAGTGCATTGATTATTTTATTAATTTCTTCTTTTTACATTATGGGAAACATTTATCTATTTACATTTTTTTTGCCCACACACAATCTAGGTAAATGAGCCTATGAAATTCCAATTCAGAAAGCCATAAAAATGTTCCCCACCCCTCCATCTGAAGGCTTTCAAATGAATCTATTTTTTTCCAAACCAAAATAAGTTTTAAAAATTACATTAGGGAATTCAGATCTTCTAGTGATTTACATTCCCATTATTTAAAATATGCATCTAGACATGTATTTAAAAAAGAAATGGTAAATTCACAAGGATAAGGGTTAAATGAAAGTCGGAAATGCACAGTCAAACATTAAGGGCACATCTATAAATAACAGAAATATATTACAAATAAATTAGTTCTATTTACCATTTCAAATATTAAAAATCTTTGATCCATTTCTTCATCTCTCTTTACAAAAAGGTTATGTGAATTGTATGGGGACAGCTACAAAAAATATAATAAATACGTAATTTCTTTGATTATTATTTTTTTTTGGGAGACAAACTTCTTTTGTAATTCTCTCCCTCCCCAAGAAAATGCTCAACTTCTTTATACCAAAGCTAAACAAAATAAGTAATTTTTCAGGGCACATACATTCTCCATTATGAACTTAAATAAAAACATTTCTACAAATTACATCAAAAAGAATGATGTAAGAAGGATTATGCTCGTGAATGTCAGGTCAGATGGTTAACAAGCAGCATTGAATAGGGTCATGTTGTAACATGAATAATTAGCTTTTTATAAAGTGTTTGTACAATTTAAACTGTGTTTTTAAGGAAGGCAAAGGTCATGATGCCCTAGGCCTGTTCCACTAAAAGATTTTAAATTCTTACCAAAAATAGCTTTTGAATATACAAATACCATTCACTTAGACAAGATAAATAGACCTTCTCTCATCTCTCTTTAAAATATCCTGGGCTAAATCAGTTGGCAAAGAAAATATTTTAAGATGATCTTGAATCACATTAGCAAGTGATTTCATGATCCAGATCTTAACGCTACCTCAGAGCCTGGAGCTATACTTGAACATGGATCTGGGGATGGATGCTGCTTCCTTTATGCTAATCTGTAGTGAATAGGACCACAGGGACCCACGGTGACAGTTGGCCTTCCTTCTACAACCTTCGTGATCTTTCTTTCATCACTGCTACAATGTAAAGAAAAGTATATTGTTTTTGAAACTAGCAAGTACTTGAGCTCCAAATCTGTTCGCTCCAATTTTACAAATCATTTCAGTGCTTTGTTTACCCTAGTTAAAAGTTGGTTCGTTGGTGTTTAAATAAGTTAGTAGCCCTTTTCTTGTAAACCACAGCAGTAAACATCTGTGCCCTGTTGATAAAGATAGCTCAAAGCATTGATGGCTCTGAGAGGTAGCAAATTCTCTAGTGGTTTTTAGAATATGTCCGTGAAAATATTTGTTGCCAGAATCCATCACCTCTCTTAATTTATAGAGAAAATTAAATTAGCACCTGGCTATGAAAGTGTATTTTTTTAAAAGAGCTTCTCTGGTGCAAGCATATTTGATATTATTATTATTATTATTTCCTTTGTTTTTTTTAATGGCAAATTTCTAATGCTTCAGGGTGTGAGCTTGATATAAAATGCAGGTGAGACTTTCAAATCCCCACATTGGAAATGTTTAAACTGCTACAAGTAAGGGCATTTGAAAACAACTTCAGCTAATCACTAATGCCATGCATCCTGCTCATCAACCATGACTGAAAATGGGAACCAAAGTTCTCCGCCAGAAGCTTGAATTTGTTTCAGTGTCTATGAATCCTCCTCCTCTTCCTCACCTCTTCAGGCCAAACATCTCTCTCTACCTTGAACCTCAAAATGACTGTGGCAGCACTTCAAATGAGGCAACCTGTCTACCGGGAAGGGAAACTTCTTTTATCCACTTGAGATGGTCTTCTGCTGGACAAGTGAGCTCTGTATAGTGGTGAGAGGAAGTTAAAGAAGAAAGATCCTCGAAATATGAGATACTAGGTTAAACTAGCTGCATGGGTAGCATTCAGAAGGATGATGGGAAAAGCCAAAATCTCTGAAAAGAGCTTCAGAGGCAGATGGGTATTTCTATGTGTGGATAGAGTGGTAGGGCCACTCTAAATCAATAGGATTTACACTTCCCCTTTAAAAATCACCGCTACCACTCCAAGGTAAACACACATGGTACAATAAAAGTTGATTAAAAAAAAAGTAAAAGAAACGTTTCAGTTCTAAATTTGTATAAGACAAAAAAAAAATCCCTTCTGTTGAATCTTTAACGCATCAGTGCCTTTGCCTTGCCTTTCTTCTTGTTATTGCCTTTCAGAATAGATTAATTTCCCTGAAAGATGGAATTTACAATCTTCTGCTGATTGAAACATTTGAAGCTGTGGTTGATGATGGAACACTGAGGCAGGTTTTGTGCAGCTGTGAGCAATGAAGTCCCCCCTCCCTCTGGGGACAGGCAGGTTTGTGTCTCCCCTCTCTCCCTCCCCTCCCCCCCCCCCCATTTCCCCAACCCCCAGGCCAGCTTGGTCCCTTGTCTCTTTGTTACTCTGATTCTGGTGAGATGGTGTGAGTTTTGAGCTTCGAAAGAAAGTGTAATTTGGATTTTTTATCTTTCTTTTCTTTCTTTTTTCTTTTCTCTTCTTTCTTTCTTTCTTTCTTTTTTTTTTTTTAAAGAATAACCACTTGGAGGGAAATAAAGGGAGTCGGAGCTCCTCATTCCTTCACGTGGAAGACGCTAAGTCCCAAATGGATCACCTAGTGATATACTGGATTTCTGAAATTCCCTATGGTTTTTATATTGCTGACACACTAGCTTGAGAGAACTGAGGATGGCAGGTGACCTAAGGGTGTAGTGTCTACACGGGAGGGTGGGGGCGTGGGGTTGGCTTGGCCCAGAGTCATCAGGACAGGGGACGAAGCTTGGTGAAGATGGGCAGAGTGATCTAGGGAGCAGAGGGGCTGCTGGGGGCTCCAGCAAGGTGGACAGAGGCGGGGGGGAAAGAAGGAAGCTTGGAGGGGGCGTGGCGACAGGAGGTGGGGCTGGGTCGGGGGCGGGGCTTCTGGAGGGCGGGGCCCGCGGTGGGCGGGGCGGGCGGGCTCAGAGCCGGGTCTGCGCCTCGGGGATGTAGATCTCGATGCTCTCGGCGCTCTCGGTGGCCGAGTTCTGGCGGACCGACGCGGCGCGCTTGGCGGCCATCAGGCGCTTGCGGGCCTCCTGGCGCTGCGAGCTCTCCAGCGAGCGCTCCCGGATCAGCGGCGCAGGGCCCTTCGCCGGCTTCTTTGGCACTGGAGGAGGGGCCCTTCTCTCCTGATCAAAGCAGAAGGTTCAGGACATTACACAGCTTCTCAGGACAAGCTTGGGAAAGACTCGGATAGGTCAGTAGTTAGAACATCACACACACACTTGTTGGATTGTTTTTAAGATGTTACCCTAAGGGGTGATTACTGTTGATCTGCACACTGTATAGACATTTCTTTCCCCCCTCTTCATTATTCTGGTTTGGGTAGTCAAAGGATGCAGGAAAACTTAAGAAATCCTGATGAGTTTAAGGCCAAGGGCAAGACTGGATTGCAGAACTAGGCCTCTCTAAGGGCAGGATGTGAGTATTTTAAACACCTCCCTCTTCCCTCTCATCAGACCCCTGGTTGAAAGACTGAGGACCCCAGCACCTAACACCTGGGGAAATGGGGTCTCTGGAGGCTCCAGGCTCTTCCTAGTGCCAGAGATGGGCTAGGAGAGCACAGTAGCCCCAGAACTATCTAGAACAGTGGATCCCCTTTACGGAGGCAAGTCGCATCATCATCATCATCATCATCATCATCATCAATGTGCCCACCCAGATTCCCCTCCACACTTAGGCAACCAAAGGAGCTTAGAAGACCATGTCCTTGAGCTCTGTTGATACCATGGTGAGTGAGGCCCTCTGCGTGTTACACGAACACACAGCAATACAACGTACAGGGTGACCGACTAGGGAAGACCCTGCTATTTCCTACCCTGGGGGGTGGGGAGGCAGGTCGTTTCCTCAAACATCCTTCTTTAACAATGTCAATCCTGAGGAGGTCTCAGGATAACTAGTAGTCCCAAAGGGAATTCCAACCACAGGGAGAGAAACGGCCAGGAACGTTTATCTGTTTGGCAAGAAAACCAGTAGGGTGGGAGAAGAAGGGCATTCTAAGGCACAATGCTTTAGAAAGAGGATGTTAAGCTTCCAGGGTGTGAACAGATCTACACAAACCCAATGTGTCCATTTAAGATAAAACATCCCAAGGTGCTATGGAATGAAATGTGACCCTGTTCTTAAAATCTGGATCAGATCCAAAGGGTACACTTTGTGTCTTAACACAGGCTCAGGGCAGCAGTTCTTCCTTGCTTGCCAGGAAGAAGTACCAAATTCATTGTAGTACAATGCACTGGCCCACAGTTGTCTGAGGTGGTGGAAAAGTCGTGAAGGGGAAGCATAGTGCAAACTGTCCACCAACACAGTATTAGATTCTTTCTCTCTTCTCTTCTTTCTTTCTTTCTTTCTTTCTTTCTTTCTTTCTTTCTTTCTTTCTTTCTTTCTTTCTTTCTTTCCTTTCTTCCTTTCTTTCTCCCTTCCCCCCTTCTAAGTCCATGGCACGGTGAAAAGTTCTGATCATTGACAAAATCCATTAAAAATGAAAACCTTTAAAAGTTGAGATAACTAATGATTCACTGTGCATGTATCAAGAGGTCTCATTATTGCAATTTGTACTACTTCTTTGGGGCAGTTCAGCTCTTCATTGTGGGGTAATTCAGTGGATATTTTTAGAAGTATGACTGTTGGGAACTTTTTAGTCATTTACCTTTCCCCCTCCCATTTTTCTTTATTATTATTATTTTCTAATGTGTCAGTACTGAGGCTTGAACTCAGGGCTTTACACACGCTCTCACTTGGCTTTTCCACCCAAGGCTGGCCCTATGTGAGCCACACCTCCATGTCCAGCTTTTTTCTGGTTAATTGGATATAGGAGTGTCACACACTTTCCTGCCCAGCTGGCTTCAAATAGTGATCCTCAGATCTCAGCCTTCTGAGTAGCTAGGATTATAAGTGTGAGCCACCGGTGCCCAGCCTACCTTATTTTGTTGTGTTTTTTTGTTGTTGTTGTTGTTGTTTTGTTTTAAGAACGCTTTTTAAGTAATCAATGAATGAGAAATAAAATGGATCAATTCTGGAAAGTAAATTACCAGCACGTATATACCTGCCAGGATTTCTTCAAATAAGATCCACTTAAAAGCCTTGACAGCAGATAGCTTCACACGCAGAGTAAAGAAAACTGAATGTGGTACAATGTTTGGTTTCCCAACTAAAAGCCCAGATGTACACCATATAAATTTCATATTTAATACAACAACCCCCAGTTTGGTGGCAATAGAACTGGGGGTGGGGACAGTGAAGAGATGGCATTCTGTTACAGACTGTCCCTTGGGACCAGATTTCTTCCTGGAGTCCATTGACCCCAGGAACCCCAATATAATGGGCAGCAGTGTCAATAACTAGAATGCCATTGACTCTAATAAAGGAGGAGACTTGAAGAGAGCAAGACCACCATTGCTTCAAAGGAGCCTCATTTTCTGAGGTTGAATCTCTTGGAACTATTTGACCTCAGGCAAGTGTTTCAAAACAGTCATGTATGAAGGACAGCCTGAGGAAGCAGACATTGGATACTTGTCTGAGCCTGGTGGAGCCACCCTAATCAGATATGAAATTACAGTTGCTTAATTAAAGTAAAAGAATTCCAGTCTTTATTTCTAAACTGTTGCATGAGGACCACAGTGAGCAATATTTCCCTCCCCAGGCAAATCAACCAAGAGTAGAACTTTGGAAAAAAAAATCCCAACATTTATGATGACTACGGAAGCTTATGGTGTTTTAGACTTGAACCACAGTGATTTGTTTATTACTATACTTATGAGATGATCATCAAGTCAGTTATTTTTCAGGGCTTCCTAATTTTCTCGGAAACACATCCTCAGCTTGTAAGGAAGTTGAACTCTTGCTCTATGGTACCATGCATTGTAGATGTCATTTATTTTCATTTAAAAAGCAAAAGGGAGGCAATTCCTTCCAATGACTAAAATGGTTTAACTTAAAAGTTTAATTGACCAAAAAAAAAAAAAAGCCACATTCCCATTTTCCAATTCACAAAGACAAGGTTTTTTTTTTTCTTTTAAAATATGCCTGAAACATATTACAGATAATATCCCAAATGATTACTATGTAAACATTGTCATTACAATGAAATTTATATGATATCAGCTCCATTTCACATTGTAAACAGCAGGACTGAATGCAGAAGCCTATTTAGACTGTCCAGCGTTTGTACAAGTTTTTAAATGAACCATACAAAATCTACATTGTTCTACCTTCTTGTCAAGAGGATCCATCTGTTTCCAATTATTGGCCTTTAACTGATGAAGTTCGTCAAATTTCATACTAATATTTTCTATGGACAACTGCAGCATGTCCCAAAACCCCGCCAAATCCTGGGAAGTGGGTCTCGGATGAGCATTAGGGTTCTGTACAAGAGAAAGAAACATATTTATGCTTTAGAGACCATGTGACATACCAGGCTCAGAGCCAATGAGACATCTGCAAATATTCCAAATAATGTAAGAATGCCGGGTTCCTTTTGGTGCTAGGAGATAAAAGCGAGGCTATGAATGGTAATCTTATCTCCACTTTTGGTTTGAGTTGGTGACTCAATTGTCAAGGCTGTAAAATTCCTCTCTTAGAAGTATCTAGACTTGTTGTATGGGTCTGATAAAGCGGATAAGGTCAAACATTTGAAAAATTCTAGCATGAGTTATTATACCCTGCATTTAAAAACAACACATTTAAATACCAACTTTGAAAAAAAAAAACAACTTAGTATATTTATATTATTCAACACTATGCCCCATAATTTGTTCACTGAACAGATAAGGAATCTAGAATATGATTAGATTTAACATTCATGTTGAATAATAAAGTAATGTTTTCTAAGCACTCTGTAGGTATGTTTTTGGTTTTATTTCGTGGGTTTTGTTTTTTGTTTTTTTTTGGTTCTGGGTTGAACCTTTAATCTACCATTGAAACACACCTTCAACCCTTCAAAATACTATGTATTTGGCAATTAAGATGTTATTAGTATAGGAATTCATTTTATATGTGGCTGCTTGGATAAAATCACTTAGAATTTAATTAGATTTTTTTTTTTTTGTCATGGGGCTTGAACTCTGGGCCTGGGCTCTGTCCCTTAGCTCTTCAGCTCAAGGCTAGCACTCTACCACTTGAGCCACAGCACCACTTCCAGTGTTCTGGTGATGGTTGGCTTTGAACTGTGCTTCTCAGATCTCAGCCTCCTGAGTAGCTAGGATTACAGGCGTGAGCCACCATTGCTTGGCATTGTTTGTTTGTTTATTATGCCAGTACTGGGGCTTGCGCCAGGGTGTTGTGCTCTCATTTGACTTTTACCACTCAAGGATAGTGTTCTACCACTCTAGCCACATCCCCATTTCCAGCCTCTTGCTAGTTAAGTCTCATGGACTTTTCTGCCTGGGCTGATTTCAAACTGAGATCCTCGGACCTCAGCCTCCTGAGCAGCTAAGATTACAACCATGAGCCACTAGCACCCAGCATATATTTATTTATTTATTTTTCAGTCCTTGAGCCAATCCACTCAGTCCTTAATTGGTTTTAAATAGATTGCCACATAATACAGTAAGCATGAACAAGTATCTATACATATAGAAGCATGATTACAAGGATTAATATGCTAGGATTGTAAACCTTCAGGGTTTGAGTTGGTTTTCTTTGTCCTCACCCATATATCTCTGACAATAGAAGGTATGACCTTAATTTATCTGATCTAAGAAAGGAAAATAAACCACATTCAAGAGACAAAGGTGACTTGGTCATTGCTGATCATTTTCTGCAAGAGTAGTTTAAGGCAGGCAAGTCAGTTTGTGGGAGCCTCCTCGTGTCAAGAGCCTCTGGCTAATGTCACTTTTTTTCATGCCATGGAAAATCTGTGAGACCTCATGTTGTATAATAACATGAGGCCAGCTTGTACTTTCAAAACTCATCCCTACAAAAAATGGTACCATCAGAACTTAAGAAAGAGCAAAGTTGTTGACCATGAAATTTAACAGGGTAGAAAGAACTTTGACATCTTTGAATGGACTAGTATCACTAGCCTGGTTTTTCTTTTTATTTTATTTTTTTTATTTTTTTTATTTTTATTTTTTAAAAGAATCAATTTTTATTTTATTATTTTTATTTTGCCAGAACTGGAGCTTGAGTTCCATGCCTGTCCCTTAGCTTTTTTTTTTTTTTAAATCAGTTGTGGGGCTTGAACTCAGGGCCTGGGCACTGTCCCTGAGCCTCTTTCTGCTCAAGGCTGGTACTCTACCACTTGAGCCATAGCCCCACTTCCGGCTTTTGAGTAGTTCACTGCTGGTTTTTCTTTTTAAAAAGGTGTAGGCAAGCCGGGCGCTGGTGGCTCACGCCTGTAATCCTAGCTACTCAGGAGGCTGAGATCTGAGGATCGCGGTTCAAAGCCAGCCTGGGCAGGAGAGACCGTGAGACTCCTATCTCCAATAAACCACCAGAAAACCGGAAGTGGCGCTGTAGCTCAAGTGGTAGAGCGCTTGCCTTGAGCTGAAGAGCTGAGGGACAGCGCCCAGGCCCAGAGTTCAAGCCCCACGACCGACAAAAAAAAAAAAAAAAAGGTGTAGGCAGGCACCGGTGGCTCATGCTTGTAATCCTAGCTACTCAGGAGGCTGAGATCTGAGAATTGCAGTTCAAAGCCAGCCTAAACAGGAAGTCTGTGAGATTCTTATCTCCAGTTAATGACCAGAAAACTGGAAGTGGTACTGTGGCTCAAAGTGAAGAGTACTAGCCTTGAGTACAAAAGCTCAGGGACAGCGCCCAGGCCCTGAGTTCAAGTCCCATGACTAGAAAAAAAAAAAAAAAGGACGCATTGCTGGTGCTAGTGGCTTATACCTATAATCTTAGCTATTCAGGATATGGAGATCTGAGGAGAGATTTGAAGGCTGCTTGCATAGACAAATTCCAGATACTAATTTCAATTAACCACCCAAAAAATCCAGGAGTGGAAATGTGGCTCAAGTAGTAGAGTAACAGTCTTAAGTAGAAGAGAGAGTATACAGCCCTGAGTTAAAGCCCCAGTGCCAGAACATACAAACAAGACGTCTTTGCTGGGCACTATAATCCTAGCCTCAGGAAGCTGAGATCTGAGGATCGTGGTTCAAAACTAGCCTAGGCAAGAAAGCCCATGAGACTCTTATCTTCAATTTACCACCAGAAAAGTGGAAGTGGAGCTGCGGTTCAAGATAGTAGAATGCTAGTCTTGAGCACAAAAATTCAGGGACAATGTCCAGGCCCTGAGTTCAAGCCTCATGTCCAACTAAAAAAAAAAAAAGAAAGAAAGAAAAAACAGAAAAGAAGATATATGTATAACTATAGTTTGAAAACATTCTCATAATCCTGATTTTCTTGGAAAAAATAAACTATAACATTGTAAATCCTTGAGTCACTGTTAAAATGTATTCTTGGGGTTAGTATAGCTCAGTGGTGGAATGAATGCCTGCTTAAAACGTTTAAGGCCTTGGGTTCAATCCTCAGTATCATACAGCAACAACAAAAAATTATTTCAGTGACAATTAATGAAAGGCTTTGTGTATGGTATTTTGACTTAGTAAATGATAAAATTTCTTTCTAGGCATGTTAGTGCATGCTTGTAATCCCAATTTGGGAAGACTAAGGTGGGTGGAACGTGAATTCAAGTTCAGATTGGGGAACACAGCAAAACCCTGTCTTTATAAAAAACATTCCTCAACATCTAGGCATTCAAAACAGATAGATAATAGTCAAAGTGCCTTTCAAATAGTTTTTGATCGCACAATATATTTGGCCTTATCAGAAAGAAAAAAGTAAACTACCTATTTTGGATTCATGATCCCTATTGGCTAAACTTTTAGTTTTACCACCAATATAAAGAAATAGTAGTGTTGAATACATTATCTAAAACCACTGGGCTCTGAAGCTGAGATTTTGCACTTTTTAGGGTTTGGGAATATTTACATTTACATAATGAGATACCTTGGGGATGAGACTCAAGTTTAAACATGAACTTCATTTCCATTTCATAAATGCCTTACACACACAGTGAAGGTAACTATTTTCCATAGTAAGAGGAGTTGAAGTCTGGGCCTCCCACTTGCCATGCAAATGCTCTACCACTAAAGCCACACCCACAGCCCTTTCCTTTTGTTTTTTAGGGGTTTTATTTTGTGTGTGCCAGTACTGGAGCTTGAACTCAGGGCCTAGGTGTTATCTCTGAGCTTTTCTGTTTAAGACTTGAGCCACAGCTTCACTCCCAACTTTTTGCTGGTTTATTGGAAATAAGGATCTCACTGACTTTCCTGTCTGGTCTGGCTTTAAACCTCAATCCTTAGATCTCAGCCTCCTGAACAGCTAAGATAACAGGCATGAACCACTGGTGCCTGGCTCTAGTTTGTTTTTGAGGTAAGGTCTCCTATTAAATTGCCCCTGCTGCTCTAGAACTGTCTCTACTTAGCTACTATCTGGGATTACAGGTGTGTGTGTGTGTGTGTGTGTGTGTGTGTGTGACACAGGGGAGGAGATTTCATGTTACCTTTCCATAGAGGTTTACAATAGATTCCAATCACTCACATACTACACCTGTGTTTACACTACAACTTGTTATGTGAAGTCAGATGTAGGATTTTCTACTTGTAGTGAGTATCATGTGAGTATAACAAAAATTTCAGATTTTGAAGCATTTCTGGCTTCAGATTTTTTTTGTTGTTGCTGTTTGTGGATTTTTTTTATTTTGTCCGTTGTGGGTTTTGAACTCTGGGCCTAGGCACTGTCCCTGAGCTCTTCAGCTCAAAGCGAGTCCTCTGTTGCTTGAGCCATAATGCCACGTCCAGGTTTCTGGTGGTTAATTGGAGGTCAGAGTATCACGGATTTTCCTGCTGGAGCTGGCTTTGAACTGTGATCCGCAGACCCCAGCCTGCTGAGTAGCTAGGATTACAGGCATAAGCCACCAGTGCAGCTTGTTTTGTTTTTTTAAGGCAAGAAATTCGATCTCAGACTTAGCCCACCGATTGCTGGGATCACAGAGGGACATCACCATACCCAATCTGTAGATCATTGGGCACAAATACCTGTAATATTTTTTTCAGTGTACTTAACTTTGTATCATAGGCAACTTATTCCCTCTTCTTAAGGGATCTCTTTTTTTTGTTGTTGATTGTGGGGCTTGAACTCTGGGCCTGGGTGCTGTCCTTGAGCTCTTCAGCTCAAGGCGAGTGCTCTACCACTTGAGCCACTGCACCACTTCCCTCTCAAGGAATCTCTTTGCCTTACCTTTGTGAAATAGATAAGTAAGGAAACAGAAAAAGAGAGCTAGGGTCTGATCGTTCTTCAAATGGATAGTCATGTGACTTCCCACACACAAAAGTGAGTAGCAGCTCAATGCTTAATCCAGGCCATCGTGGAGGTTAGAGGTCAGAAAGTAGAAGAAAGAGGAGGCTGGGTTCTTTGGTTTAGTTATGTTGGAAAAAGCCAACTTTTGTCAATTCATTCTAAGCCTGAGAGTCTGGTTTGGGATAATGTGTAAGTGTATCCAAAATAAAGGGCCTATTATTTTTCTCCTCCTCAGAGAACTAAAGAAGAACTAAAGCAAGGAGGGTTGACTCTCATTCTGGCCAATCATAATGCTGCTTTTATGTGGCTGTAAGCCTGAGTGGGGCCAACACTAGGCTACCTTGCTTCCTGCTGCCAATGGGGTGGAGCTAACTCCTTCAAGCTAAGGAATAGAACTTCAATCCTGAGTGGAATTTACAGGAATGAGGCCAAATACACTGGGCTGTGAGTCTTGGCTCTGCCTATAACTGTGCTTGGTCATAGATTTTTAGCTTTTCATACTCATTTTTCTCATCTATAGTATCATCATAAGAATGATGTCACTATTATTAACTCTAAATGCTCATTCTAAGGATTGAATGAACTCAGACATCTACAGGTGCTTACTTAATACAGAGTCTGGCACATGTATGCTCTGGGCCTTTCCTGCTGGGGCCTGGCTTCACCACCAATGACCCTCTTCCCCAGTGTGGCACTGGATTCCTGCATTTCACTTTGTTTCTCCTGTTCTCCCAGAAATAAGAGCCCACCAGGAACAAGGAAACATCAGAAGTTGTTTAATAAGGCTTTAAAGTTTCTTAGAAGTCAGCAAATCTTTTCCAAATATCTTGTCTACAATGACGTCTTTAAAATCTGCACAAAGTGCTACCTGTTGATGGCTTAAGCCTGTAATCCTAGCTACTCAGGAGGCTGAGATCTGAGGGTCACGGTTCAAAGCCAGCCTGGGCAGGAAAGTATGTGAGATTCCTATTTCCAATAAACCACCAGAAAACTGGAAGTGGCACTGTGGCTCAAGTGGTAGAGTGCGCCCCTTGAGCTGAAGAGCTGAGGGACAGCACCCAGGCCCAGAGGTCAAGTCCCAAGACTGACAAAAAAAAAAAAAAATCTGCACAAAGTTTACATTCTACTCCACAGTACAGTTGTTCATTAAATACTTTCTTTGGGTATACCAGTCCTGGGGCTTGAACTCAGGGCCTGGGTACTGTTCCTGAGATTTTGTGCTCTAGGCTGGTGTTCTACCACTGGAGCCACAGTTCCCCTTCTGCCTTTTTAGTAGTTAATGGGTAATAATAGTCTCTCTAGCTTCCCTGCCCAGACTGACTTTGAACCATGATATTCAGATCTCAGCCTCCTGTGTAGCTAGGATTACAACTGTGAGCCAAAGGCTTCTGGCACTTTTTTTTTTTTTTTTGTCGGTCTCGGGGCTTGAACTCTGGGCTTACACACTGTCCCTCAGCTCTTCAGCTCAAGGCGAGCACTCTACCACTTAAGCCCCAGCACCACTTCCAGTTTTCTGGTGGTTTATTGGAGATAGAGTCTCACGGACTTTCCTTTGGGGGCTGGCTTTTAACCATAATCCTCAGATCTCAGCCTCCTGAGTAGCTAGGATTACAGGCGAGAGCCACCAGTGCCTGGGTTTGGCTAATTCTTTTAACAACTGTGACTTCCACAGTTTCAGCAGTATAGCTTTCTATTTCCCTCCCTCCCTTCCTCCTTTCCTCCCTTTCTCCCTCCCTCCCTCCCTTCCTTCTTTTCTTCCTTTCTCTCTTTCAGTGTTGGGCCTTGTGCTAGCTAAGGCAGGTGCTCTACCACTTGAGTCATGCCACTTGAGTGTGTGTGTGTGTGTGTGTGTGTGTGTGTGTGTAGATTAAAAAAAATAATAGCCTAGAGAAGAGAAATGGCTTTTGCTGATTTTCTATTTTCTCTTCATTGAGCTCTGTCTAGATAAATCTCCTTCCCCCTCCTACCCCCAGTCTGTATCTGTCCTTGTAAATAAGATAAGATCTGAAGAGAGAACAATGGGCCAGTGATACAGAGTTAAAATTCTAAAATCATATTTTGGGTCATTTATATTGCAAACAATCAGGGTTTCATGTTCCACACATAAATAGTGGCCTTTCCTTTTCTTTATTTTAGGTCCAGCATGTTCAACAACTTAGTAATCAAAGCCAGGCTACTGAAATTATGCTTTAGGAGACAGTAGCAAGCTTTTTATCTTTTGTTTCAAGCCCAGGTGAGTTGTAGCTTGCTTTATTTTGCAGTCGACTCTTAAAATAGGATGGCTTAAATAAGGTAAAATTTTTTCCTTTTTTAAAATTTTACCTTATTTTTCAATTAGTGTAAACTTGTAGTAAGAGGGGATTTCATTGTGATATTTGCATACATGTACACAGTGCACCCTCAACAGAGTTACACAAGTAGTAGAAGAGGTGCTTTTCTTTTCTTTTCTTTTTGTCAGTCATGGGATGGAACTCTGGGTCTGAGCACCGTCCCTCAGCTCACCCACAGAGAGTGCTCTACTACTTGAGCCACTTCTGGTTTTCTGGTGGTTAATTGGAGATAAGAGTCTCAGGGATTTTCCTGCCTTGGCTGGCTTTGAACTGAGATTCTCAAATCTCAGCCTCCTAGGATTGCAGGCGTGAGCTCTCAGTGCCCAGCTTATTTTCTTTTAGTATGTCCAAAATTGTTGGATTGGATCATTGTCTCAAAGAAATCTAATGTACACTTCAGGATACCCTCCACCTGTGACCTTTGAGGTAAAACAGAAACTCTGTTTAGGAAATAGCCATTGACAGCTATTTTAGAGAGAATCATGATCCAAGATGTTTTGCTTTGTAATTTTTAGCTTTGAAACATCAGCTTGCTTTATATTATGGGAAGAACAATAAAAATCCGAGCTATCATATGAAAGCCAGGAAAATGGAAATTTTTAGTTTCATAAAAGCAGGAAATGAAGTTTTAATGTGAGTGCTTTTCTCTCCAAAGATGATTTGAGTGTAAATATTTTTTTTTTTTAAATTTTAAGAAAAGCAGGAAATAAGATTCATTAAAAAGTTGTCTGTTCTAGGTAAAAGACTCCCAAGCTTGAGTTCAAACAGTTTTACTTTAGTTTGGCTAGTCTTGAGGACAAGTTCTTCTCATGATTCTCTACTAGCAGGAGATCGTGAGGAGGCCAAATGTTACCTACCAGGTTTTCTTCACACAGTTCTCTGAACTGGTAGAATTTCTGGGCCATGAGAAGTTGGGCACTGCCCACTGCGGTTCGGATTTTCCCTAGAACTGAAAAGAGCAAACACACAAGAAGTTTACACAGATGCCTCATGGCAGAGATTTAGTCTGGTAAATAAAGAAAAGAGAAGGTTATGATGTCACGATGGGAAAAAACAGCGTATGTGGCACGTCCCATGCCCACCCACGTCCTTGTGATGTGAGTCCATGCACTCCGGGCTCCTGGGCTAACACATAAAATGAAATGAACATGAACGTCATGCATATTTCTTGAGAGTTCTGGCTTCCCATCACAGCACTGCATGAGAAGAGGCAAATAAGGGTTTCTGTTTTGGTTTGTTTTAATTTCTATTTTTTGTGCTGGGCTTCAACTCAGGATGCTGTGTTATCACATGGCTTTTTCTATTCCAGGTTGGTGCTCTACCATTTGAGCCATACCTCCATTTCAAGCTTCATTGCTGGTTAATTGGAGATAAGAGTCTCACAGACTTTTCTGCTTAGGCTGGCTTTGAACCTCCATCCTCAGATTTCAGCCTCTTGAGTGGTTAAGGTGTGAGTCATTGGCTCCTGGCTAGGTTTTTATTTCTTAAACTTCTTTTACTCCAAGGATGAATTTCAACTGTTTGTCAGTACAGTTATGGATTCATAAAATCAGCAATCATGGTATACTACCTTGTTTTTCTAACCAGAACTCAAACATAAGAAAAGCAAAGCTTGGATGGGGGAATCTCTTGGCAATCGCCAGACCTAACCCATAACCTTTATTATTTTGCTGGAGTTCAGCCACTGATTCTGCCAGACAAGGGAACAGTTTTTTTTCTTTTCCTTTGTGCCAGTCCCAGGGCTTGAACTCAGAATACTGGCATTGTCCACTTCAGCCATGGCTCCACTTTCTGCTTTTTGGTGTTTAATTGGAGATAAGAGTCTCTCAGACTTTCCTGCCCAGGCTGGCTTTGAACTCTGATCCTCAGATTTCAGCCTCCTGCATAGCTAGGATTATAGGTGTGAACCACTGGTGCTCAGCAAGGGAAAGGTTTTCTAAGCAGAGAGAACATGCAGTTTGCTGCCTAAAGAATACCAGAGCCAGCCCAGCTTGTATGGTGCAGCCTGCTTTTCTCATGAATACAGGTTCAGTTCCCTATATGGACATATAGGGAAGCTATATATCTTTGTTTGGTTGGTTTTTTTGGGGTCCAGTCATGGAGCCTGAACTCTGGGCCTGGGTGCTGTCCCTCAGCTCTTCAGCTCAAGGCTAGCGCTCTACCACTTGAGCCACAGCGCCACTTCCGGCTTTTTTCTTTTTGCTTATGTGGTGCTGAGGAATGGAACCCAGGGCCTCTGGCATGCAAGGCACGCGCTCTACCACTGAGCCACCTTCCCAGCCCCGGGAAGCTATATATCTACGGAAACTTTTCTTCACAAGAAAGCTACTTCTTGTTCCCTGTGCAGTCCAAGGCCAGCACCCTGACTGCCAAGTGGATGTGCCCCAACTGGGTGGGGCTCTCTGGAAAACCTCCCCAAGTCTGTGTGTCTCCCAGGGATCCCCTGAACCAGCCACCGACACAGACGCAGCTGCCACTGGTGGAGCACTGCCACTGGGCCATTTATAACATGTCTGCCTTCTGGGGCAAGAGGGAAGGGGAAAAGATGCCCACATGGAAAAGCAGCTTCAGAAAAACCCTGGCCCAGTGTGAAAACCTTCCTGGAGAATAATCGACATCTAGGCAGTCTTGTTGTTCTGAATTTATAGAGTATCAGAGTGGAATTCTATGTGTCTCTGTCTGTCTCTGTCTCTCTGCCTCTCTCTCTTTCTCCCACTCCAACTAGTGTGAGTGTATGACCCGGGTGAGAGTTTAGAGCAATGCTTTCTCCTCCACTGAGAACCTTTGGTGCTGGTGGCACTGGGGTTTGAACTCGGGACCTGCGTTCTATCCCTTTGCTTTTTCTTTCAAGGCTGGTACTCTACCATATGAGCCACAGGTCCACTCCTGGCTTTTTGGTGATTAATTGGAGCTAAGAGTCTCATGCACCTCCCTGATCAGGCTGGCTGTGAACTGTGATCTGCAGATCTCAGCCTCCTGAGTAGCTAGGATTATAGGCTGGAACCATTAGTTTCTGTCTCCTTTTCTCAGCCACATTCCCCAAAAAGTTTGATAAGAATACAGAAGAGAAAGAAACTTCATTTCCCAGGTTTTTCTAGTAATTCGCCTCTTTCTTGTCTACAATATCAGGCTGGGTAATAGTTCATCATAATAGTTTATAATACATATTATACATGTGACACTACTTAAATGTTTTGGAACATTGTTCATATGTCACAAATCATACCAAATAGCTCAGGGACAGAATGTTCCTTTTCAGTCACAATATGAGGCTATCTGGCAGAAATTCTTCAGGCCTAAGTTTTGACCTTCTTTCTACTTTGCTCTAAAACTCTTTTGAGATGCTTATCATTTCCCTCATTAACTAGGTTTCCTCTCAGTGTCTGAGCATCTCTGATCTAGAAAAGACAGCTATGTAAATATAAGATACTTTGTATTGACCGGACCCCCCCCCCCAAAAAAAAAGATACTCTGTGATGATTGAGAGGTGATTGGGGCACTTGTGGCTCATGCCTGTTATCATTGCTATTAAGGAGGCTAAGATCCGTTCATAGTCTGCTCCAGGAAGATTCTTCATCTCCTGTTAGCCAATAAAAAGCCAGAAATGGAGGTGTGACTCAAGTGGATGAGCACCAACCTTGAGTGAAAAAAGCCAAGTAAGAGCTCAAGGCCCTAAGTTGAAGCTTGCGTACTGGCACGCACACATGTGTGTACACACACACACACACACACACACACACACACACACACACACACACACACACGTTTAGAGTTGATGACCTGAGTGATCCTGAGTTCTTGCTTCAACTTACTGTCAATCTCTGGTTTCTCCTATACAGGAAGAGGGCTAACGGTATCTATTTGTTGAGTTATTCTACTAATCTGTATGAACTGTTAAGGATAGTGCTGTTAAGGATAGAAATCATGTAATAAATATTGGTTATGATCCTTTATGGATATGACAACCAGAGAGCCACACCTACTCTAGCCAGAAGAGAAGAGGGGGAAAAAACAACAAAGTCTGAATATTTAAGGGTGACTGGACATCCTGGTTGCTTGAAACAGGTTTATTTTCTGGAGAGTTTGTCCCAGATTTGGCAAGGTAAGTGGAACAGGTAATTCCTAAGTGAAAAGGTAGTTTTAAGCAAGCCCTGGGGTTGGGGAAACCTCTCTGAAATATCTTGCCACAGAGCAGATTAAGTGTGACACACCGATTCTCAGAATGTATTTTAGAAGTTTACAAAGAGAGACTCAAGTTCTCTAATTTGTTGGTTGGGATTCCATAGCTTCTGGAAGTTGTTGTAAAAACTTCAGCTATTCTGATAGACCTCAGGTCTTGAAGTTAGTGGTTCTCAAATATACCTGAATGCCTGAGCTTCCTCAGATCTCCACAAAAGCAGTCAATATGACAGTGGTTCTTGCCAGGCACCGGTGACTCCTACTACCGAGGAGGCTGAAATCTGAGGATCAAAGTGCAAAGTCATCCCAGGCAGGAAAGTCTGTGTGACCTCTTATCTCCAACTAACCAAAGTGGAAGTATGGCTCAAGTGTCAGGGCTTCAGCTCCAGCCGCTGTAGTGGCAAGCATGTGCACGCCCACGCCCACACACCACATGATAGTTGTTCTCACCAGAGAAAGCATTGCTCTAAACATTCATCCAGCTGACACATTCATCCGATGAATAGAGGGTAACTTAAATGTTTTCTTAGAAGTAAAACAAGGGACATCTGGGGCTGGGAAGGTGGCTCAGTGGTAGAGCGCTTGCCTTGCATGCATGAGGCCCTGGGTTCGATTCCCCAGCACCACATAAGCAAAAAGAAAAAAAGCCGGAAGTGGCGCTGTGGCTCAAGTGGTAGAGTGCTAGCCTTGAGCCGAAGAGCTGAGGGACAGTGCCCAGGCCCAGAGTTTAGCCCCACGACCGGGCCCAAAACAACAACACCAACAACAACAACAAAAAAACAAAAAACAAGGGACATCTTTCTTCATTCAGCAAGGTCTGGAGCAAGCCCTGGATTTAGAACCCTTGTGACAATATCTCGGGTGGAGTTCCTGTCCTTCTGTTTCCCAGGTTTTTGCCTCGTGTTCCTTGGATGGAAATTTCTTAAGGACTACAGGGTACTGGCATCTTTCCTAGGTCCAGGGAAGGGATAATGACTTGGGCCTAAGAGAAACCATGACCTGGGAGAGCTGGGGGATAAGTAGGCAACAATTTGTATTTCCTTGCCCTCCACACATTCTCTTGCAGATCACTAATAACTAATTCACTCTGAAGTTAAGAGAGAAGTCCTATTGGGAATTTTCTGGGGTTTTCTTTCCGTGTGTGTGTGTGTGTGTGTGTGTGTGTGTGTGTGTGTGTGTGTGTGTGTGTGTGTGTGTTCCCTTGGACACTCACTTGGTAGATGTAAAATGTTTTCTCTGGAAGGCAAAATTTTTTGTTTGTTACATGTGCCTCCAGGAAGTAAAAAAAGCAATACACAATAAATAGAAACATCAGTGGAAGTAGAAAACAGAAAGGGAAAAGACCAACTATTATAAGTGAGAAATGAGAAAAAGAGACGAGTTGGGCATAGGGGCACATGCCTATAATCCCAGCACTCATGAAGCGGAGGAAGGAGGATCCAGGTCATCCTAGACTACAGAGCAAAATCCTATCTCAAGAAGGAGATGGAAGCTAGGTGCTGATGGTTTATGCCTGTAATCCTAACTACACAGGAGGCTGAGATCTGAGGATGTGAGGATCACAGTTCAAAGCAAGCCCAGGTAGGAAAGTCCTTGAGACTCTTCTCTCCAATTAACAACCAATAAGCCAGAAGTGGAGCTGTGGCTCAAGTGGTAGGGGGCTAGCCTTGAGCACAAAAGCTTTGCAACAGCATCTAGGCCTTGAGTTCAAGCCCTAGGACTTGAAGAGGAGGAGGATGGGGAGGGAAATAGAGAAGGAAGAGGCAAAGA